CAACGACGACGACGACGACGACGACGGCAACTAAATAGGAGGGACGACGACGAGACGCCGACGACGGGCGACGGCGACGAGGGAGGAGGAAGGACGACAACGGCGACAACGACGCCGGAAACGACAACGACGCCAAAGAGGAGGAGGAGGACGACGACGACGAGGAAAGACAGAGGACGACGACGGCGGCGACGACGACGACGACGAGGGAGGAGGGAGGACGGCGACGACGACGACGACGACGACGACGACGACCACGCATGAGCGCGCGCGCACGCTTTTGTTGAGAATCCGCGTTGCGAAACCCTGTGTTTTTGCTTGCGTTTTGGACACTCGATTTTGAAATCCTTCCGAAAACTATGGTTTTTGAAAGATTTCGGCATGCGCGCGCGACGACGCGCGCGCGTGCACTTCGTCCCATTTTTTGCAAAGAGTTCTCGCGACGGCACGCGCGCAAGGGCGCTCCAAAGATTTCGAGATGCGCGCGCGAAGCCCGTTTGGTAGTATGCTTTGAACATCTTGACAAACCCCAGAATTTCTCAAGATTTCGCAAGAGCGCGCGCGTAAGCTGTTCTTAGAAAATCCGCGTTGCGAAACCCAGTGTTTTTGTATGTGGTTTGGAAACTCGATTTTGAAATCCTTCCGAAAACGATTGGTTTTGAAGGATTTCGGCATGCGCGCGCGACGACACGCGCGCGTGCTGTTCGTCTCGTTGTTTGCAAGGGGTTCTTGCACATCTATGACTTTTGATAAACGTATGCGCGCGCATAGCATTTTTTGCAGAGGATGGCGGGGGGGGCGATACTGGTTGGGCTGGGATATTATGATTTCAGAGGTAGGATGGACATTGGGTCAGAATCATGTGTTTTACGTCGGTTCCTGGGGGGTCTTAAACCCCTGGGGGGGAGGGTGGTAGAACCTATTATCATTTTCAACCGCTCTGCTGAACTTGAAGTCGTCATCTCCACTGCTCGCACAAACATCCCACCCACCCACCCGCAATTTGGTTTGCAAAACCTGTTAACACCGACTACGACGACACCGACGACAACGACTACGACGACACCGACGACGTCTCCGACGACTTCGACGACGACACCGACGCCGACGCCGACGACGACGAAGATGACGACGACGACGCCAACCAAGGCGACGACGAGGGAGGAGGAAGGACGACGACGGCGACAACGACGACAACGACGACAACGACGGAGGAGGGAGGACGGCGACGACGCGAACGACGACGAAGGAGGAAGGACGGCGACGCCGACGACGACAACAACGAGGGAGGAGGGAAGACGACGACGACAACGACGACGACGACGGCGACGAAATAGGAGGGACGACGACGAGACGCCGACGACGGACGACGACGACGACGACGACGACGTGGGAGGAGGAGGAAGGACGACCACGGCGACAACGACGACGGAAACGACCACGACGCCAAAGAGGACGACGACGACGAACACGAGAAAAGCCAGAGGACGACGTAGGCGACGACGACGACGACGCGGGAGGAGAGAGGACGGCGACGACGACGACGACGACGACGCAAGAGCGCGCGCGCACGCTTTTGTTGAAAATCCGTGTTGCGAAACCTTGGGTTTTCGTTAGTTTTTTGGACGCACGATTTTGAAATCCTTCCGAAACCGATGGGTTCTGAAGGTTTTCGGCATACGCCCGCGACGACGCGCACGTCTGCACTTCGTCCCATTTTTTGCAGGGGATTCTCGCGACGGCACACGCGCAAGGGCGTTCGACAGATTTCGACATGCGCGCGCGCGAAGCCCGTTTGGTAGCATTTTGTGACAATCTTGAAAAACCTATGGTTTTCTTAAGATTTCGCAAGACCTCGCACGCTTTTGTTGAAAATCCGCGTTGCGAAACCTTGTGTTTTTGTGTATGTGTGTTGGAAACTCGATTGCGATATCCTTCCGGCACCGAGGGTTTTTGAAGGATTTCGGCATGCGCGCGCGACGACGCGCGCGTGTGCACTTCGTCTCATTTTTTGCAAGGGATTCGCGAAAAAGTGCTATGTTAGAACAAAAAATGTCACCGCATAGTGTTTTTTACAAGGGAACCTCAGGGGGGGGAGCCCGGTTTGACTGGGATGGTATGATTTCATATTTAGGATGGACGAGTGTGCAGAATGTATATGGAATTATATTATCCAACGGGGAAGCGATAAGTCCGGGGGGGGGGGTAGAGTCTATTCTCTTTTTAGAAAGGAGAATCAAGGGAATCCAGGCGGCGATGAGGCGGCGACGGCGACAGGGCAGCGACGGCGACAAATAGCCGCCAGACCGACAATGAGGCCCAGACGACGCGGCGCGACGACGCGGTGACGGGGCCGCGACGCCAACAACAGAGCCTCCAGACTGACAGTCAGGCGAAGACGACGGGCGGCAACGACGCGGCGACGGGGCGGCGACAGCGACAACATAGCCGCCAGACCGGCATTCAGGCCCAAATGACGGGCGGCGACGAGGCGGCGACGGGGCGGCGACGGCGACAACCTAGCAACATAGCCGCCAGACCGGCATTCAGGCCCATCTCCGTAAAGAAGAAGCAAGAACCCCTGAGTGCAGGCACTGTTTGGGAGACTGTACGCGTTGAAACCGACTTGGTGCACTCTATCGAATGCAACCCATGTGGTGCAAGCCATGCGGGCGACGGAAAGACACGGGCCTTACGCGAGAAGACATGGCAACCTTGCGCCGCGGCGTACGCAGGCCGCCAGCGTAGCACACCCAGTGGAGGAGAGGGCGCGCACGCGAAACCCTACACGGGAAGCCTGCGCGCGAGTGTCCCGCAATCGACCCTGTTCTCTTCCGTCGCCCATGTCCAGTCCGCGCACGTGGCGGCGTCGAGGGGCGGGGACGGGCAGCGACCGCGCGAGATCACCGGGAAAAGCCCTGGCCAGCAGACGAGGCAGCGACGGGGCGGCGACGGGGTCGGCGACCGGGAGAGAACCCGTAAATACATCTGAAAAAAAACTTCGAACGTAATACGGTCAGGAACGTTTGCTTAGCGTGCCGCGCCGCGAGTTCTGGCCCACCACGCTTCGGCGCGACACGCTAATGAACCACGTCCCAGTCCGCAGGCGTCAACGTCCATAGCTCTTACCGGACTCTCGCCCCGCGGAGCGGAGCGACGCGATATGCGCTTGCAGGACATAGCGTGTCGCCAGGGCCGCCACCGCGACTCGCTATGCAAAAGTTCCCGACCGTCAGAACCCCTAGCGCGAGCACTGTTCGGGGAATTCGTAAATACTTCGGCGGCGAGCCGGGGGGGGAGTGGGAAGGGGCGTGCCTTCTCAGAAGGCTCGGGTGCCCCCCGGCCTTCTGAAAAGTTGTCTGAGCCTTCCTCGAAGACACAGAGAAAACCTCTCAGAAGGCGCGAGGGCTACTGAGAAGTGCCGCCGCCTTTGAGAAGGCCTTCTCCTTCTCACTTCCCCCCCCTCCCTCGCCGCCGAGACTGGGGAATTCGTACATACTCCCACTTCCTCCGCTGTCGACCCGATGCCGATCCCAGGAGGGGAACGACGACGACCACCGCCGCCACCACCGCCACCACGGCGACGACGGCGACGGAGGGTAACCCAGACCTCCAACGTCGCTTTTTTTCACAGCGTGGTTATCCAGATGTCTTGACCAGGGCACGAGCTAAACAGTGCTTTTCGTTTTCGTTGTGTTTTCGTCTCCTTCGTTCTGTCTTCGTCCTGCCTGTGCGGCGATACGAATATCAAACGAAAGCAGCCCACGAAATCGTCAAAGCACTGCTTAGCTCGAGCCCTGGTCTAGATCTGGACCTGTTCCCCAGGACCACCTCCTCGTCCCGAGTCGTGAAGGCCCCGGAGCCCAGCGAGGGCCCCAGAGCACGAAAACTACCAGAAAGCCCCCCCCGCCGTGACTTTTGCCCCGACGAGCGGAAGTCTGGGGAGAAAGACGACGAGGACGCCGACGCCGAGACCGACGCCGAGACCGACGCCGACGCCGAGACCGACGCCGACGCCGACGACGACGACGACGACGACGACGACGACGACAAGAACGGGAACTTTACGACGACGACGACGACGACGACGACGGACGCGACGACGACGACGACGACGACGACGACGACGACGACGACGACGGCGGCGACGACGACGACGACGGCGACGACGACGGCAGCGACGACGACGGAGGCGACGACGACGACGACGGCGAAGGCGGCGGCGACAAGGACGACAACGACGACGACGCCACCGCCGCCGCAGCCGCGACGCCACCGCCACCGCCGCCGCAGACGACGAGGACGACGACAACGGCGACGATGACGACGACGACGACGACGACGACGACGACGACGGCGGTGGTGGCGACAATAGCGCCGAGAACGACGACGACGACGACGACGACGACAACGACGACGACGACGACGACGACGGCGACGACGACGACGACAACGGCGACGACGACGGCAGCGACGACGACGGCGGCGACGACGACGACGACGACGGCGAAGGCGGCGGCGGCGACGACGACGACGACGACGACGGCGGGTAATTAAGCAAGGCGGCGACGACGCCGACGACGACCACGATGCCGAGAGCGAGCCGCTGGCCGATGCCTGAGAGGCAACGTTAGGGGGGACTGGCTCAGGGGGTAATATCGAGCTTGAATCGGAGGACATCGCCCACGGATCGGCGATAGGCGGGCGGGATTGGACTATCAGGTCCCTATCGGCGATGAGTGGACGCCTGAAGTCGGGTCGATGCACTCCCCCTTAAAATTGCCCCCTGGCTTTCAAGTCATATCTCGGCTCTCCAGCGGCTGTTCGGGACAATTCGGGCACCCCTGGAACGCTCACTGCGAGGCATGGCTGCTGGAGAGCATCCCGAGGCTGGAAAACCGCCGAGTGGCGACGAAAAAGCTCGAGCCACAAACTCGTCCACCGCCCCTGAGCCGATCCCCCCCGTGAAGATGCCCCTGAAAATCGCGGCGCGCCGCAGCCGTCGGCGCCCCGAGCGCGAGCGAAGAGCTGGCACTGAGGGGCCAACGGCGCCACGAGCGCGCCAGCGCACAGCTCCTCGATCCGCTGGCGGAAGTGGTCCCGGGACCTCGGCAGCGCGCGGCGGAGGAAGGAGGGCGCCCGCGGCGGCGCAAGGAGGGCGGGACGCCCGCGGCGGCGCAAGCAGGGCGCCCACGGCACGCCGCCGACGACGGCGCCGACGGCGCCGACAGCACCGACGCCGACGCCGACGCTGACGACGACGCCCATGACGACGACGACGACGACGACGACGACGACGACGACGACGACGACGACGACGACGACGACGACGACGACGACGGTGGTGGCGGCCGCGGCTGCGACGACGAGGACGACAACGACGACGACGCCACCGCCGCCGCAGCCGCGACGCCACCGCCACCGCCGCCGCAGACGACGAGGACGACGACAACGGCGACGATGACGACGACGACGACGGCGGTAGTGGCGACAATAGCGCCGAGAACGACGACGACGACGACGACGATGATGACGACGACGACGACGACGACGACGACGGCGGCGGCGGCAGACGATGGCACCGACGAGGGCGACGGCACAGGCGACGGCACCAGCGGCTGCGACGAGGACGGCGAGAGAAGTTGTCCCTGAAGAGTCAGCCGCCGCCCCGCCGCCGTTTAGGCCCCGGGCGCGGCCAGCGCCTCAGCACGCGCCTCGGCCTCGCGCAGCTCCAGGCGCGCCTCGTGGGCCATCGTCGTCGCCGCCGCCGGTACCGCCGCCGTGGTCGTCGTCGCCGCTGCCGCCGCGGTCGTCGCCGTCGCCGCTGTCGTCATCGCCGGAGTTGTCGCCGTCTTCGTCGCCCTCGTCGTCCCCGTCGCCGTCACCGTTGCCGTCGTCGCTGTCGTCGTCATCGCCGTTTCCGCCGCCGCCGTCGCCGTCGCTGACGTCGTCGCGGTCGCTGTCGAGGCAGTCGTCGTCATCGACTTCGCCGTCGCCGTCGCCGTCTTCGTCGCCTTCATCGTCGTCGCCGTCGTCACCGTCGTGAGCCGCGGCCAACGACGACCACGGAGTGCGGGGGGAACGAGACCCAAACCTCGAAGCTCGATACTAACCGTCGTCGCAAGTGTACTGTCTGCCTAGGTGAAAATACACACATCGACAAAATATAGGTGTATGTATGTTCACTACGTCACAACGTATGGGCAGATCCCTCTCTCTTTGCTACCTTGCTTGCTTCATTACCCTCTCAGCTAGCTCTGCTCTCCTTTCTGAGCCTAACAGTGCCGGGACCGCCGAACCCAGAACCAGGAACCTGGGATCCCGGACGCCCACCGAAATCGGCCCGGCACGTTCGACACATCCTTGGATATTCAGGCTATGTGCAAGCACTGATTGGGGAATCACGTCGTCGGATGCCTGGCATTGCCCCACTCATCAACGTGATCGGAGCGAGGGCTACCCCGAAACGGACGATACGAGCTCACCCCGAAAGCGCACCCTGACATCCGATGTCTTCATCTTCTTGAGAAGCGGCTCCATGAAGTCCAGACCGCTTCCTAGGATGCAGTGCTTCATCCTGGATCCGTTTTTTTCTTGTCCCAGAAACGGCCCACGAGGGCCGAATTCAATGAAAAAAGGAATGATTGATGAAACAACAGGAGCGACACGAGCTCACACCGAAACCCAGACCCCCGACGTCGTGAAGTTGCCATGGCGCGGACCCCGGAGGTCCACTCCGTATGGACTTCCTCCGTATGGACTTCACCTCCGCCGATGGGGGTACAGTTGGACTTGATTGGAGAGGACACCGCCATAGGCATGCAAGGAGGCATGGGTCGCGAGGCACAGGACACCAGGGCCTCCTTGATCTGGCAGGGTCGACCTTGAAAATCAGGGCCGACTCTTCGAGCTCAGGTCACCCCGACCCGGGATATGCTGACCAGGGTCAATCCAAACCTGGGTCAGTCAGGCCCTGCAAGATCCTGCAGGATCCTGCACCCAAGCCCGGGTCAAATGCACCCCTCTCCCTGCAGGATCCTGCAAGATATCCGGGCGCCCTCGCCGACCCCATGTGTGCCTTGACCCCCGCCTCCTGAGCCCCGACCCGACAGCGCACTCAAAACGACGCGAAGATCGGGACAAAATCGGATCGGGATAACTCGAAATCTCTGAGAAGCGGCGGGCTTGGAGGATGTATTGGGCGCCGCGGCCGCTCCAGAGCGTTCCGGAACGCTCTGAGAGCGCTCCGGAACGCTCTGGAGCGATTTATCCTCCCTCCTCCTCCTCCTCCTCCCTCCTCCCTCCTCCCTCCTCCCTCCTCCCCCTCCTCCTCCTCCTCCTCCTCCTCCTCCTCCTCCTCCTCCTCCTCCTCCTCCTCCTCCTCCTCCTCCTCCGCGGCGCCTGCTGCAGCTGCTGCCGCACGCCCGCCGCGGCGCCCGGCGCCCCGCCCTCGCCCTCCTCGTCGCCGTCGCCGTCGGCCAGCAGGCGGCGCTGCCGCTCCTGACTACCTACCAGACCACCCCACCCCAACCCGAAGACTCGAATTTCGGGTTGGGGGGGGTACGGGTTCCATATGTGTTTTCTCGAAGTTCCCCGACCCCCCCCCACTGGAGATGGAGGTCAATTTGACGCCTTCGGGTTGGGTTGGGGTGGTTTGGTGGGTGGTGAGCTCCTGCGCGGGGGCTCGCCGCCGGGGGGGGGTGCTGCGGCGAGGGACATGAGCTGAGGAAGCCCTGGACGTGGGGAGTCCAGGGTCTCCAGAAGCCGACGGAACGAAAATGGAGACTCGGCGACGGACATCACCGCCGCCCCAAGGCAGGATCAGTGAACATCGCATCGGGGCACCGGATCGGATCGGGATGCGCATCCGATCGGGCCGCATCGGCACGGAACCGGCGTCGGCATCGGATCGGATCGGCCGCGCCGGGATGCCACACAGCGCCGTGCGGGCATCGGGCCGCAGCGGATCGATGGAATATCTCAGGGCCGAATCGGATCGGGCCGGCCGCAATCGAGATCCAAGCGGATCGATCGGCTCGAAATCGACTCCGTAAAGAGGTGCTAGCTCTGGCCCGGCCGAGCTTGCTGCAGGTGACGCGTGCCCTATGGGCGGCGTGGGGGGATCTGACGGCTCCGCCGGGTGGGCCCCGCCCACTTCGCCCGGATCCGCACGCCCAGGCCGTGCCACACGACCGCAAGCTAGATCAGGCCAGATTGAAGGGGCCCACAAACACACACATAAGCACACACACAAGTAAAAAACTCAGATGTTTCCATATGTTCTGGGTTTCTGCCTTCCCTCCCCCTTCGCATAGTTTCCCCTATATTCTCCTGGGAGTCGACGATTCATTGTGTCTGTGTGTCTTCTTCCCTCCTGGGTTTCTGTCTTCCCTCCCACTTCGCACATTTCCCTTATATTCTCCTGGGAATCGACGATTCATTGTGTCTGTGTGCTTTCCTCCCTCCTGCCAGGTATGACTCGCCTTAGCAGCGGCTTCCTGGCCATCGCTCGGACGTCCATTTCCTGTGTTTTTTTCGGTGTCGTGCGTGTTTTTTTCGCCAAATGATCAAGGATCCTCCTCGATCGCCCTCGCCGAGAAAAAATGCACACGTCCGAGCGATGCCAGGCTTCTGAGCCCCGGAGCCTCTCGGCAACCCCTGGGGGCGATGCAGGTGCGAAGGGGGCCTGCCGCCCGGAGGCACGAGGGATATCGGCGGCTCGGAGGCTCGAAGGCTCGAAGGCTCGAAGCTTCGAAGGCTCGAAGGCTCGAAGGCTCGAAGGCTCGAAGGTTCGAAGGCTCGAAGGCTCGAAGGTTCGCGGGCTCGAAGGCTCGAAGCCTAGAAGGTTCGCGGGCTCGAAGGCTCGAAGGTTTGAAAGGCTCATGAGCTACCCATGCAATCCGGGCGTCGCACTGTTCAGACCGTCCGATTTCCCTCTGGGTCGGGCCCCGGGACCCTCACGGATCAGCGCGGCTGGACAACTGAAGCGAAAAAATTGGCTTCGGGGCTTCAGGCACAACTTTTCCGTTAAAAATTCGCAACGTATCTCAGAAGGGGATCGAATGGCCAAAGGCTCGAACGACGACGACGAAGACGACGACGACGAAGACGACGACGACGACGACGACGACGACGACGACGACGACGACAGCGACGACGACGACGACGTCGTCGCGGGCGGCGGCGGCCGTGGCAGCGGCGGCCGTGGTGAAGGCGTCGGCGTCTGTGGCGGCAGCCGCAGCCGCGGCCGCGACGAAGGCGACGGCGACAACGAACGACGACAAAAGAGGAAGAGGAGGAGGAGGAGGACGACGACGACGGCGGCGGTGACGACGGCGGCGGTGACGACGACGACGACGACGACGAAGACGACGGCGGCGGCGGCGGCGACGGCAGCGGCGGCAGCGGACGACGACGAACGGCGACGACGGCGACAACCACGGACGGCGTTCGACGATGTCGAATGACGTCGCCAGAGGCGACGACGATGTCGTCATCGCTCGAGTGTTCGAGGTTCGAGGTACGAAGGCTCGAAAACTCGAGGGCTCGAAGGATAGATGGTCCCTCAACACATACACACACACACACACACGCACACACACACACACTTTTTTTGATCCGCGGGTCGAGAGCGCACCTCTCCCGGTCGAAGCTAAGCGGGCCGCGCGAAGCTTGAATTAGGCGGAGGAGAGGAACACGCACACGCACACACACACACACACACACACATCTGCGGGACGCTCCCCGCGACGTGCTCCGCGACGACGACCTGGCGCCCCCAGAAGAAAGCGATCCCCGGAACGTTCTGGCCTCGTCGGGAGAGTCCCCGTGCAGCAGAGCCGACAAACACCACAAACACCGCTCCTCGGAGGCCCGCACGGGCTTTTCTCGTGCCGGCTCCAGGCCTACGGTAGAGGGAAACAGTTACTGAACACTCCCTCTCCCCCCCAACCTCAACGTTGGCACGCGCGGGGGGACCTGCGGTCGACGTGCATCTCAGCAGACCCACCGCCAGCTTTGAACATTGGGGAGAGGGGGAGCCGTTGACAGATGAATGTGGCATCATGAGTGTTCGCTAATTTGTTCCGAGGCCTGTACCTCCCCACGCCCCCGCGAGCGACGGCCCGAGAAGTCCGCGCAGACCTGCTCCAAGCTTCATGCTCAGTTACACTCTGGGTTCTCTAAACAAGGAGCATGGGGACCCCTCCCCCCCGCAGGAAACGCAGCCCCCCTTCCAAGCAGAAACTCCAAGAGTCGAAACAGCAAAACGTCCAGGAACAGCCTCGTTGCCACGTCGTGCGGCGCATGACTGCGAAGAGATCGTCGCTGGGTTTGCTGCAGACAGGTGTGCATGCAAGTATGAACCTGCTGCCCGGCCCGTAGCCGCCGAAGCCCGAGCCAAGAAGCCATTCGGCACGCTGCACGGCCAGGCAGCATACAGAACCTGCGCAATATCACAGCGTGATACCTCCCTCTGTGCTTTCATCTCCCCCTCGGCTCAAGGGGGGCAACGACAGTGGAGAACTGGCTCGGGGAGGGGGAACATCGACTTGACACGGGCGAAGGATCAGCGATAGGCCCCCCCGATAGCGAATCTGCAGGTTTCTATGGGGTGGGCTACTCGGCCCTTATCGACGATGAATGGGCGACTGGAGGTCGATGCTGTCCGCCCGGAGCCTATCCCCCCCTAACGCTGCTCATGACCTTCCTTTCCCTGGCTCTCGGGCCATCTCTCGGACCTCCGGAACCTTTGCAGGACGAGCTGGGCGCCCCGGGAGCGCTCCCGGCGAGGCGCAGCTGCTGGAAAGCACCCCGAGGCCGGAAAGCCGCAAAGAACCAACGGAAACACTCGAAAAAACCTCAAACCTCGAGCACGAAACTCGCCCACCCCCCGCCGCGAGGGAAGAGGCCCACCCCACGCGCGGCGCGGTCCTGGAGCGCCCGCTCGAGCTCCCCCGCGCGCCTCCTGCCCCCCCGGGAGCCGCCAAAGTGCACACCGACACGTGCCCCGGATGAGACGGACCAATCGGGGGCGTCCGAGAGGGGGGTGTCCAAGAGGGAGGGGGGGGGCGCAGATCATGGCCGGCGGCATATGCTGGGCGTGGCTTAATGGGGGGGTCATAAATGGGTGGGTCAGAAAAAGTCCCCTTTCGTGCCCCCTTCGGGCCCCTCCAGAGCCCCAGGGGGCTTGTTTAGGTACCGTTTGGGTACCTTTTCGAACCACCCTCGCCGCCCCCCCATTTATGACCCCCCCTTTACGCGGCGCCCAAATATGCACGGCCCAAGGTGGGCCGGGGACAGAATGAAACGAGAGGAGGCGCCATGAAGCTTGGGGAGACATCAGAGCCCCGGCCACGATACCCACCCTGCCAAGTCATCACCCCCATCTTGGCCGCCCCCGAAGCCAGGACCCAGACAAAATCGGAGCAGGACAAATCTAGAGGAACAAAGAACTGCATATACCTAAACTTAGGTCGGGCGTGTCCTCCTACAGGCGGATTTGAAACGAAAAACATACTATATATATGATTCTATATATTGTATATACATATATGAAGAAATCGTACCTAGACTATTTCCCATGAGCGCTTGCACTGAAGGGGTCCTAGCGGAGATGGAAGGATTTGGCGAAAACTCCGGGCCGATTTCGGTGGGCGGCCGGGTTCCCAGGTTCCGGGTTCTGGGTTCCCAGGTTCCGGGTTCCGGAACGATTTCGGTGGGCGGCGGGTTTCCCAGGTTCCCGGGCTCCTGGTTCCTGATCGATCCTCTTGTCTCACCAGCGATCTCATTACCCACCTCCCTATCGATCTCACTATCGTTCCAACCATCGATCTCACTATCGATCTGACAATCGATCTCACTGTAGATCGTGCGAGCGATCTCGCGATCGATCTCACTATCGATCTCATTGAATATATGTCACTATCGGTCTCACGATCGACCTTACAATCGACCCCACTATCGATTCCACTATCGATTTCACAATCGATCTCAAGATCCATATCACTGACTTTCAAACCATCCGCTGATTGGGGTTTCTCTCTGGTGACATGCTTTGGCTATTTCCGAACACCCCTCCTGTAGGGGGACGGGCTCGACTTAAACCTACACGCTCAGAGGTCCGCGCAGATTTCTCGGATCTGCGCTGCGACCCCCTCCCTGGCGCGCGGGCGCGCCAGGGGTCTCGCCGGAGACGCCGCCGCGGAGGGCCAGCGCCGATCCAAGGACTCCGCGCGGACACTCCGAAGTTTATGTTTATGCCGTGTTCTTCTTGGGCGTGGGTTTGCCAGCTGTGTCGTCGCCGTCGCCGCCCCGTCGCCGATCTGTCGCCTCCACATAGATTCTCCTTTCTAAAAGACTAATAGATTCTGCCCCCCTCCCCCCCCCCGGACTTATCGCCTCCCCCTGGGATAATATGATGTCATACATATATATGTATATATACATCATATATATATATATATATATATATACATATATATATATATATATATATATTCTGCACACTCGTCCATCCTAAATATGAAATCATATCATCCCAGCCAGGCCGGGCTCCCCCCCCTGAGGGTCCCTTGTAAAAAAACACTATGCGGTGACATTTTTTGTTCTAACATAACACTTGTTCGCGAATCCCTTGCAAAAAATGAGACGAAGTGCACACGCGCGCGTCGTCGCGCGCGCATGCCGAAATCCTTCAAAAACCTTCGGTTCCGGAGAGGTTTCAGAATTGAATTTCCAAAAAAAACATACAAAAATACAGGGTTTCGCAACACTGAGTTGCTAAAAAAGCTTACGCGCGAGCTCTTGCAAAATCTTAAGAAAACCATCGGTTTTCAAGATTTTCACAAAATGCTACCAAACGGGCTTCGCGCGCGCATGTCGAAATCTGTCGAACGCCCTTGCGCGTGTGCCGTCGCGAGAATCCTCTGCAAAAAATGGGACGAAGTGCAGACGCGCGCGAAGTCCCGCGCGTATGCCGACATCCTTCAAAAACCTTCGGTTTCGGAAGGATTCCAAAATCGTGTGTCCAAAGAAACCTACAAAAACACAAGGTTTCGCAACACGGGTTTTCAACAAAAGCGTGCGCGCGCGCTCTTGCGTCGTCGTCGTCGTCGTCCTCCCTCCTCCCTCGTCGTCGTCGTCGTCGTCGTCGCCGTCGTCGTCTTCTGTCTTTCCTCGACGTCGTCGTCGTCTTGGCGTCGTCGTCGCTTCCGTCGTCGTTGTCGTCGTGGTCGTCCGTTCCTCCCTCGTCGTCTTCGTCGGCGTCTCGTCGTTGTCCCTCCTATTTCGTCGCCGTCGTCGCCGTCGTCGTCGTCGTCGTGGTCTTCACTCCTCCCTCGTCGTTATCCTCCTCCCTCGTCGTCGTCGTCGTCCGTCGTCGGCGTCTCGTCGTCGTCCCTCCTATTTCGTCGCCGTCGTCGTCGTCTTCGTCGTCGTTGTCGTCGTTGTCGTCTTCCCTCCTCCCTCGTCGTTGTCGTCGTCGTCGTCGCCGTCCTTCCTCCTTCTTCGTCGTTCGCGTCGTCGCCGTCCTCCCTCCTCCATCGTCGTTGTCGTCGTTGTCGCCGTCGTCGTTTTTTCTCCTCCTCGTCGTCGTCTCCGTTGGCGACGTCGTCGTCTTCGTCGTCGTCGGCGTCGGCGTCGTCGTCGTCTTCGTCGACGTCGACGTCGGCGGTGTCGTCGTAGTCGGTGTCTGAGGTGCCGTCGTCGTCGTTGTCGCTGTCGTCGTTTTTTCTCCTCCCTCGTCGTCGTCTCCGTTGGCGACGTCGTCGTCGTCGTCTTCGTCGTCGTCGTCGGCGTCGGCGTCGTCGTCGTCTTCGTCGACGTCGACGTCGGCGGTGTCGTCGTAGTCGGTGTCTGTGGTGCCGTCGTCGTCGTTGTCGCTGTCGTCGAAGGCGTCGGTGTCGTGGCCAAGTGCCATGTGGTACCTACCGTCACGGTCTTGTCTTAAGAAGTCTTGCGACCAAGTTGCGGGTGGGAGGGTGGGATGTTTGCACGAGCAGTAGATAGGACAGCTTCAAGACGGTCAGAGTGAGTTGCACCACATATATCGCACAACAGCATAGATTGAACAGCATAGGTTGTTCAACATATATTCTCCTTTCTTAAAGGGAATCAGAGTATGCCCCGCTGGGATTATCCGTACCCCTTGTCTTATTGCAATTTACATATGATTCTGCCCCATCGTCCATCCTAACTTTGAATTCATACCATTCCAGGCAGGCCGGTATCGAGCCCCCCCCGTCATCCTCTGCAAAACCTCTGGCATCTCGCACGAACGAGCACGAGGAGGTGCCTCGCCATTCTCGGCGGCTGGAGGGCGCTCCTGGGCCCACGTCGCGTCAAGAAGAAGTTCCGGACGACAAGCCCAAGCCGAAAGCAAGATGAGGACGAGTTCGAAAGAGGCTCTCTGCAATACAGCGGCCCTGCAGGGAGGAGACACCGGGCGCCGCGGCCGCTCCGGAGCGCTCCGGAACAGAGACGCTCCGAGAGCACTCCGGAGCGCTCTGGAACGACGTGTATCCTCGTCCTGGGCCCGCCCGCCTGGGCCTTCAGAAGCCTCCTGGCCGAAGCCAGATCGTGTCGGAGTGGGCATCGGCTCGGTCTGCATCGTCACGGATCCGAACTCGGATCGAGTCGGCCACGCCAGGATGCACAGCAGCGACGTCCAGTGACCGAGCCTCGGGGGACCGTCAGAAAATCAACATCGGACTGGGTCGAGCCAGCCGAAGTCGACACCGAATCAGACCGACGGGATCGAGGCGGACCCTGCTTGGGCCCCTGGCGGCCATGCGGGACGACTCGGGCACCCCGGGACTGCTCTCGGCGAGGCGCAGCTGCTGGAAGGCCCCACGAGGCAGGAACACCTGTTCATCGGCGGTGGACAAACCTCCCTTTAGTAAGCCTCCCTTTAGTGAAAACGGCCTGGGACCGAAACCGACGCACCTGGACCCGCAAAAATGACGGCCGCGACGTCCCCTCGCGAAGCGAAAACGGCCAATTCCTTAATCGACGTGCCAGGGTAGGAGGTCTGTCCACCCCCGAGGAAGTTCGGGAACCGTCGAGAGCGCCCCCAAGGAAGCTCCGGCACAGGGCCGCGCGGGCCAGCCTCGCCATCGCTCGGGCGCCCCTCCCCCGTGCATGGTGTCGGTCTCTCGTGCGTGCTGTTTTCCCTCGAGGGCTGAGCCCACAGGCTCCTCGATGGCCCTCGCCGATGTCTCGGCTGCGCGTAAGAGCCAGGCAAAAGAGAGCGACCTGGGGTGTGCAGCTTTTCGGGACGCGAGGGGGCCGAGCCCAATCGCGCAGGCCGCTGCTGTCGCACTGCATGCAGCGATCGGGGGGGTTTGGTGGGCCCGCACCAAAGGTCACCCCGGGGAAGGGTGTCGCTCCGACGTGTAGTCGAAGATCGACCTCGAATCGATTAGCGTGGGGACCGATTCTTCATCCCGAGTCGTTCCCTGACAGTCCCGGAGCCCGTGGAGGGCCCCACACAACCCGAAGCAGCGAAAAACCTCAGGACCCGTCTCCCTCGGGACCCCCTCCACCCATGGCGAGTCGGACTGGCGGGGCCGAGGAGGGCCAGCAGAGGGCCGGCAGGGCGCAGTGCGCCCAGGCCTCCGACGCGCAACTGGGGCTCGTGGCGGCGGGGCGCCGCGGAGTCATCGGGCCCCATGCCCCGTGCGGAGGAGGCGGGCCCCACAAGTGCCACACGAGGAGTGCCTCCTCCTCCTCCTCCTCCTCCTCCTCCTCCTCCTCCTCCTCCTCCTCGTCCTCCTCCTCCTCCTCTCCTCCTTCCTCCTCCTCCTCCTCCTCCTGCTTCTCCTCCTCCTCCCCCTCCTCCTCCTCCTCCTTCTCCTCCTCCTCCTCCTCCCTCCTCCTCCTCCTCCTCCTCCTCCTCCTCCTCCTCCTCCTCCTCCTCCTCCTCCCCCTCAGGTAGCTAACGGATCTCGTCGAGTCGTCCGTGATCGG